CTGTTCCCACTATTTTTATTGTTACCTATTGGTTACCTGTCAATCACAATGGTTTTGTTGTAATTCTATCACTTTGGACAGCGTGGGTGGTTATTATTGTAGTCACATTCGAATTTCTCGAATATCGGGATAAAGCATCACGAAAATTGTCAATAAATCATCATGAAACACGCCAAACTGCTTATGAAGTATCTGAAATTGATCATCAACAGGATGGAGCTCCAGTAGTCGAGAACGAAGCATTGGACAGCAACAGTATAAACAAAGCAAAATTGATATTATTGAGTATACATGTAGTTGTCTCAATTGCACTTGTTATTCCGCTAATTGTCCTTATTTGGCAACAGAGCTGAATTGAAAACTATTTTCTAAAACATTGATGTCGAATACATTAAAAATAGGACTAATGTTACTTTTTTTTTTTACTTTTTTCCTCGTTAATTTAGTTATTCGATGGGTACGATACGAAATTGAATTTTGCATGAAACTTAGAAGGCTGATTCTTGTTCAAGTCGACTATAGCCGTCTTAACACACATGAATTTCTCTTTTTTACATCTGTTAATATTGTATTATAACAAAATATTGATCAATGACAAATAGAACAAAACGATTTTTTAAGGACGTCTTTCAAAGCCATATGCGTAAATTATTATTCGTATCGCTTGCTCGATTTTATCACCATAAATGTTAGAAAAAACATATTCTGACTCGTTAAGATACTTCTTTCTACGCATATCGATCTTACATTTTTTATTCACCATGCTTTTTTCTTCATTTCTGACAAACGTTATCGATTATCTACCTTCACTCTTGCTTTGAGTATCTACTGTCTTAGAACATCAAGAACGATGGGACATGCTTCACTTGTGAAAGAAAGAAATATATTTTCCACCATGGGCTAATGTGATGTTAGAGAGGTATTACTTTCACTCAAATGAAGCAGTTGCGTGGGTATATGCGTACCATGCATTTTGAGAGAGACGAGAGAAACTACTTAGTATTTTCTAATTAGTTTGCTTGCCAATAAGCATATAAAAACAAGCTTGAGTAGCCACAATTGTACAAACTAATAATCACCACAAACACATATTTGCTATGTCATTGACTAACGCAGCAACTTCGGCAGACAAGACTCAAAAAGATAAACCGAAAAAGGACAACCAAAAAATTGACAAAAATACAGGATCTAATAAAATTACTGACATACCACATGAATATTAACCATATAGACTAAACGCAACGTATTAAATTCAAGATGAATGAAAATAGTTGAACAAGACACAAAGCTGTGTCTATGTATTCAATAGTCATGTAATTGTTGGTCGCTATAAGCAAATTCAGCAAATAGTTGAATAGGACCAGGGGTTGATGCATGTTAGACATATGCATCTTCCATAGGATTTTTGATTATAGTATGATTTCAATACATTTACTATGGAATGAAAACTATTGATGACAGTCGTGAAAGTTGTGATCCTCTAATAAACAGGTACTTCTGATCAACAATAATAAAATGTTCACCAAATCAGATGATACATTTATATGTTTTTATTATTCGGATTACTGAAAGATGCAATAAAGATATTGCACCGTTTCTTTACTATTACTCAATTTTTTTCTTAAATAAACATTTTCTTCTCACTAATAAACTTTTCATAGCATAAAACAAAAGTTTAATTCGAAAGAGAAACGAGGTAAATTGATGGTATATAGGAATGGATAAGGCAGTGAGAGAGAGATCAAAAAATACGAATGATAGTGTATATACAACAAGGCTATCCACAGATGAAAATGCAACAAAATGCTCTTCTATTAGTGTTCAATGTGATCAGAGGCCATTAACACAGGAAGTCTGTAAGAGTGAAAAAAAGGTGAGATTCATTCATGTGCAGATTCAAGAGTGAATTCTCAGGTTATTATTAGAATACAATATAGACTGAAATGTCTATAGAACCTAGATACAGTGATTAATTCCTCTGTAACAGTCTGTCTGGCAAACGTTTTACAGATATTCCCTATCTCATACTATAACTTATTTCTTTTTTCATTTTAATTTATTTTTAGACTTCGACTTTTCGGTTATTCGTGACTCGTATTTGGTATTGAGTGTTGCAGATATAACAAGAGAAGTGAGGAAGGCTCAGAAAACAGCAAACTTATAGATATGTTGAGGACACAGTAGAGCATCAATCGTAATAGTTGCTTTATCATTTCAAGTTTTAGAGTTTTTTGACTTTTCGGATCTCTTCAACTTCTTTTTATGGACATGTCGGTTCAATTGAGGTGTATGTCTTTTTCTCTCGTGAACATACTATACTGATGTAGTTGGGCAAGTTTTATAAAAATAGCATCATTCGAAAAAAACAAACACCTATATGGAAATTTTCGGCATATAACAATGAAGGGTTAAAATTGTTGTCAAGCCAATCTTGAAAAATTGGAAAATGAGACAGTTTTTATGTAAATACGATGTGTTTCTTTTTCTGTGAAATTCAATTCGACTTTAAAGTATTCTTATCTCTTACTATAAATGTTGAAAAGATGAAAATAGCATATTCTGGAATAAAAGCGAAGTCAAACTGAATTTTGTTTTGATTTAAAACTTGCTTCATTTTCGAAACATAACTGCTTCAAAAGATGAGCTCACTTTACTAGATTAAGTGATTACGTAAATATTCTCTTACCGTTAGTATAAACTATACTATCTAGTTTTAGATTTTACAAAAGATCGTGTATCTTTTTTTTTGAAAATGGACGCAGTCTGATACAGTTGGCGTTGGACGTTCATAATTTTCATGCTCACTTCCATCGCAACTAATCATAATGCTATTATTAAACTATCAGACATAGAACTTCGCTATCTTACTGAACGGCTGGAAATCCAAGAACATATGTGTGGTGATTATATTAAAAATACGCTTATTGAATTGGAACACTTTTACACAGTTCTCAAGAACAATGATGGTATGTTTGAACCATCGACTATGGTTGACAAAGCATGGCATCATCATATTTTGAATATAAGAATGGATAGAACTTTTTCGCGTCAACATTTTGGTATGGAACTTCTTCATCATGTACCTTTCTGGTCCAGAAATATGAAAGAGATAGAAGAAGTATCAAACGCTAACGAAGAATTTGATCCAATAGCAACATACAATACTATTGTGTTAAGGTTCGGCTCAGAAAATGTCAACAAAACAGTGTGGGACATAAGTGAAAACGAACTAAATGGTGATCGTTCAGAACTAGTAGAACATACTGAATTCTAGATGTAATCACATACATGAGCTGTCGAGCGATGCTTATGGAAATAGAAAAAAATGCGAGGTGTGGATTTTATTCTCCTTGCTTGATTAGAATATAGTGTTAAATTCTATTTTTATTTGAAAAGATTTGTATTTTAAATAATAGAAGTTAAGTTAAACCTCTACTGATAGATGAATATTGTTGACAGCGGTCTTGACTTGAGAAAAGATAATGTCAACTTCAACACGACCGGTTGTCGGGTCTATGATTTGATGTCGAGCACTATAGTGATTAGACATCGATGAATTCATCGTCACGTTGAAAAGACCAGTTACTAGAAAACAAAAACAAAAATACGTATTCTTATATTCATATAGATCACTGAGAAAAAGTGAATTTTTACTGAAAATATAACTATTCATTCAATTATTTGAACATGTTAATTCAGATGATTGATTATGATAGAACAATCAGCTCTTTGTATTACAAAAGAAAATGATAGAAAATTTCAGACTGGGAGACGATTTTATCATATGAGCTTTGAGCATTGAAGTACTTGAATAAATCTGTTTACAAAGAGAATTCTTAGACTAGTAATAGAATTCAAAATCAAACTTCAAAGTCATGAATACCTTCATGAATGAGATTGTCGGTCGAATTGAAGAAACGAAGATTAATATTGATATTACTCGTGATGATATCAGCTTCGAGCAAGATATATGTCAAGCCAGCATTCATCATTCGTCTCACATATCGACTGACATCGATTGATTGATTCATGTGAGTAATATTCGATGTCGTCGTTTGAAAGACACAATTGCTATCATTAACTTGCGGCACAATAATAATTGATCCTTGAACAGGTACTGTCCATTGAGAAATGTTCATCATCATTGATCCATCACATGTTGGATTGCCGTTTCGAATGAGATTTATATTCTTGCCAATCGATCCATCTGGTAAAATGGCCTTGGATATGGAGAAGGCTTGGTTGAGTTGAATTTGTGTGAGATATTTTGATTGATTGAGATTACTTTCGGAAAAGTCGGATTCGGTCAAGTCAGATAGTGAGAAACTAGCTTCGATAAGTGAGGCACGACGAAAATTGGAATCGATCAATATGCCATGATCTAGACGGACTCTGTTCATGCTAGAATTTTCAAAGGTATTGTTATAAAGACGAATACCAAAAAGGTTGCCATCATCTAGAATCACATTAGAGAAATCGCTCTCATTGAGTGTTGCATAAGAAAGCATCGATTGACCGAGTGAAGCACCACGAAAGTTACTGCGAACTAATCGAGTATTTTCCAGATTGACTCTAGCCATATTGGCATCTTCGAAAAGAGCTTCTTCTAGTTTGATATAACGAAGGGTACTGCCATCAAGAATGGTCTTTGAGAAGTCGGTCCGATTATCTTCGGCTCCAAGAAAAACGGACTGGATAAAGTGTGCCTGTCGAAAGCTAGCATCTGTTATATGGGTGAACCAAAAGCCACTCTCATCACCGTTGGCTTGATAAAAGTTAGCATGTGCCAAGTATGCTTTATCCAATTTTGCTTTATACAAATTGACACGCTCGAAATTGGCTCCAGTTAATGGAACATCTAAGAAAACAGCTTCATCGAGCTTAGCTTCGCTAAAATCAGTCTCATTAGCGACAACGTCGATTAGGGTTGCATTAATAAGTGATGCTCGTCGAAAATTGGCACCAACAAGTGAGGCGAAGAGGAATGAGCCTCTGTCCAATTAGGCTTCTTGAAAACTGGTGTTACGAAGTTTAGCATCAAAGAAATTGACGTCACGTAGATCGGAACGAGTGAGGGAAGCATAGGTCAGATTGGTCGATGAGAAAGATGCATTACGAAGTGACAAGCAATCAAAAGACGCACCAATTAGTGTGGCGTAGCTAAGATCAAGTTGATTAAAATATTGAGTGGGACAATCAACTAGAATAGAAATAGAAAGCGAAGTATTTTTTCCAACGAACATTGCCGCACATTTTGAATAGAACCATTGCATATATACGATGATCCTATGATATTGATCAATACGAAATCTGGGGGTTAATCCTTTTCACACATTCTATAGTATGAATGTACTGTTTCAAGGAAAAAAAAACTGAGAAAGATCTCGAGCATTTCACAGTATCTATCACCTGTTCGTTGAAACTACTCTTTCTTATACTTATGTTTTTGTAAAAGATATTACACTGAACTCTATGATATATTTTCCTTAACTCACTTTCATCTTTATTTTCCAGTTGAATTCCACTCAAATTGACTCGTGTCAAACTAATTCGTCGCCTTGGAAAATCACTATCGCTATCACGAAGAAGATTTGCATCGTAGAGAATTTGAATGAGAAGAGTTTTGTGTGGAATATTGAATCGACGAAATAAACTCAACACTTTTCGTTGAAGCAGTGGTATAGGTGCACTAGTTAAATTGTATGCATCGAGAAATTCATCAAGATCATGTTTATCCTGACGGAATTGTTCTTGCCGGTGATGTTCTTTGATCCGTTGAGAACGATATTGTTCCAATGTCCATTCATGTTGTTGTCTTTCTTGAGCTATACGTTGTTGGGTAGCAAGTTCGACAGTCTCACGAAATTCGAGCTCTTTTTGATGATGTGTTGCAGTGAAATTTCGATCGAGTTCAGCATTTAGTTGATTCCAATCACGATCTTCCTTTCGTTGTTTCTCACTGAAGTGCTCTGCTCTTTTTGTTAATTCTAAGGTACAATTCCATTGCGTCGATTGTTGTTGTTCCTGAAGACGTTGTTCATGTTCACGTTGAAGTTGAGCCAAGTGTTCATTTGATTGAACCAGTATTAGAGGTTTCCCTGTATCTTCTCGATGTTCGTTTATTTCCAGATTGTCTCCCCTTCACCAAGTATAGGGAGAGATATATAGAGAGAAATAAAGCATCAAAGAATGCGAAATGAATAAACAAATACCGATGAGTCAAGGAGTGATACATGTGACTGTAACATACCTCTCCACCAACAGAAATGTGGGTCCACGCACATTAAAACGAACATCAGCGAAATTGAAACAAACGGATAAGATGATGAGTAGAGAAAAAGAAAAAGAAAAAAGAGAGAAAAACAGTTGTACGAATGCCGATACGAGGAGAAAAAGAATAAAAGAAAGAGAAGAAACGACAGTATAATAGCATTATGAAAAGCGAAAAGAAATAAAAAAAACAAGTAAGGGCGAATACGATGTGTATGACGACTCAGCTTTACGAGCTCGTTTTGCAATCTACGAAACGATATTGAGAACAATGTTTAGGCACCATTTGCACAACGAGTTCCATTTCAGGAGCGAAAAAAAAACGATTCGACGAAGAGAATTTGCGTTAAAATTCACGATTGTTGATATAAATTTTAAAATAGTCTTCGATTGTGAAAGATGTACAATTGACACGACTGGAGAAAAAAGAAATGAAAATGTTTTCATCTGTAATCTTGCGAGTTTTCTTCGATGTAGTCATAGAAATAATTGTCAATTTGATATCGAATGGAAAAAGTCAGAAAAAATTAGTTTCAAATAGCATCATTGTGTTACGTAATATCATATAGTAAAAGCGACTCCAGATTACGAAGTAATGCAATGGTTTTAATGAATGTGATTGAAGTTTTGAAATGATGTTTAGAACTAGTAGCTAATATTGTACTACTTGCAAATATTAATCCAGAAGCAAAAGTACCGCTGGTAATACAAGTCGAGGTGTTATTCGTCGAAGTATATAGGAATCCCGTCTGGATGAGTATCGATAATAAAAAAATTACAAGATAAACGAAATATTCGATCGTAAGTTGCAGAAATTGTGTTAATACAGTGAAACGTATTTTATTACTGTGAGAACTCGATTTTCTATTTGAAAATAGGCTCGGCCGCATTTTCGTCGGACTCGACAGATTATTTGATAGAAGTGATTGCAAAAAATTGAAATTTGTTGATCGACCACGAACGCAATAATTAGATCGTGTGCATGGCTTATGAAGAGGTGAAAACAATAGAATCTGTTCTTGAATTTGAAATTTCGATTCACAGCAACGATTCGATTTGAATGCCGGTTCTGGCAGTGAGTGTTGATTTTGAGGTAGAATAGCGTATTGTGATTGTCGATCACAGAAAAAGCTTTGTTCGTATTCAAGCAATTGCTTGAGATCGGAGCTTTTGTTCTCAAGTTCAATTGGATTTGGAACGTAAGAGTGTTCAGAACTAAATTTCTCGGTAAATATTGATCGTTGTGGTTTTATATCGTGAATATGCCACGATTCACTGCCTACGGGCCAAAATACATCAGATCCAGCTTCGATATTTTTCTGTTGAATTGATAGATTTTCTTGAGGAGCTTGTTCGATGAACAATTCTCGTTGCGATTTTATTTCATGTATATGCCATGATTCGGTTCCGTCAGGCCACAGTGAGTTCGATTCAGCTTCAGCTGTGATTACAACAGTGTCTTGTAGCTGTTCAGTATCGGAAAAAATTTCTTTGGATTTAATGTAGGCACCTTTGTGACAGTGATGATATTCATATTGACTGCGTTGTCGTCGAAGCAATTTGTCAACTTTTTTTGTTTCGACTGGTTGAATGAACAGAAACCAGTTTTTCCATAAAACTTTTTGGACTCTTTTTCGTTCGTTTAAATCAGTAATGTCTTTAAGTGCCTCATCGATTCGTGGAGCGATATTTCTACAATCATACTGTAAAATCAACGAAAGGGTCGAAAGTTGTTTTCGTGATATGACAGGTGCAGGTTTACGGTTTTGATGATAAGGATTCTGTTCGGTAAGCTGTTCAAGAAGATTTCGACTATCGTGTGAGTCAGCACATCGGGGACAAATAAACGTTTCTTGCTGTAACCGAATCTTTTTGGTAATTGCTGCATTAAAGCAAGTGATACAAACGGTATGCGAACACGGATTGATCTTGTACGTATACATGTAAATACAGTCAAAGCAAACAGTATCCAATTGATCGAAACGTTGTGACATATTGTTTGTTGGTTGCTGATATGTGCTATGCCTTGAATCTGAGAATTGCGACGACAATACCAACGAATGAATACAATGGTTCACTTTCTTGGAGTAAAGCACACAAAGAAAGCCGGTCACGGCACCAAATATTAGAGGTTTCCCTGTATCTTCTCGATGTTCGTTTATTTCCAGATTGTCTCCCCTTCACCAAGTATAGGGAGAGATATATAGAGAGAAATAAAGCATCAAAGAATGCGAAATGAATAAACAAATACCGATGAGTCAAGGAGTGATACATGTGACTGTAACAACCAGCATGGCAACAGCAGCCTATAGATAAACCATCAATAATTATACATACATCAGTTAAGAAGATATGTGAAAATTCTTCTTATCAAGAGAAACAGTAAAGAGATGCTGTTCAGTTTGTTGCATACCTCTGATTGTGATGAGCTGTTACGCTTTGTCGACAGTCGTATGACAAGAGTGACGAGTATTGCAGCAAGAAGGCCAGTGACAAGAAGTCCAACCACCATTCTGCTAATTAACTCGATGATTATCAGTTTTGTATTCTTTTGATTCGATGTCATGAAACCTCGAGTTTTAGAGTTCAGTCTGTACGAAAGACAAATGAAGTAATTACCGTTTTTTACTTGTTCGTATTTCTCTAATCGATATGACAATACTTCTATTATATATATATCATTGTACTTCGCTAATCATAGCAAATATAAGGAGGAGAGATGAAGGTATATATGCACTTAAATCTTAAAGAAAATATTGAATTTAGATGCTCACTTTTTCCGAATATCATCCTCACATTATACGTAATATATGGAAAGAAGAAAACAAATATTTTGATATTAATCATAATGGACGTCATATCAACAAATGCACAACATATTGAAAATGTCTTGAAGTATTCAAAGTTAATTTGCATCAGAAAGAGAGTGCAAATATGCATTTTATTCAACATTATCGTTGATAAAGAATCTATCAGATAAATAAAACTATTAGAGAATTTCATTTCTTGTGTCACTACGTAATTGTATTTGTTTTTCAATCAAGTCACGTCTGACAAATGTGCATAGAGCAAATACTTTGACACCCATGCAGAAGTCGCTTCATTGTTGAGATTTAATTCGATAGATTGCCTGTGCTTCACTAATTTAGACTTATTTCGAGAGTGATCCTTCTGAATCACGTTACCAGTATTTCGTCAATATCTGACTCAAATCTTATTGAATATGACAAAATTTTTCTTTTCATGATATTGTGACTATTGTTACGCATTAAATGTAGACCCAATTTAACAAAAAAAAAGTTTTCTCTGTGTTTGAAAATGCAACACTATTTTTTCAGTTATATTATTTACAAAAGTCAAAAAACATTCATTTGTCCATCTTTGACGCCTCCAACTCATTGTTTACTTATTAACTGATCAATAATTGTATCCGAAGCAAACGAATTAGTGCAATCAACATCATTTGTAGATTATTTGTTTTCGCCTCACATCTCATATGCCATTTTCACATAAACTATTATTGTCACCACTGGATTTCTCTTTCATAAGATAATATCACTCTTTGTGTTGTCAAATTCTGTGTATACCCAGGAAAAAAGAAACTAACTGTCTTTTTTGCTTCTTCGTATTTTTAGTTTTTATTTCATTTATTATCATTGTTGTTTAAGCATAACAAGCTAATAGAAAAAACGAAGGCACACATTAAATTAAATCCATAAGATAATATTTCGCTTTAATTTTTCTTTCAGGTATTGTTTGCTTGTGATATTAGGTGATATCTCAAAGAAGAAAATAAATATTTTTATATTAATCATTATGAACATCATAAAAATGAACGCCTAACATAATGATGAAAATGTGCATATCATTCAACAATATTATTGATAAATAGTCTATTGAATGAGTGAAACAATTTGAAAATCTCATTTTTTTCTACTATCAATGATTGTATTTATTTCTTTTGTACTTAAATCAGGACTAACAAAAAATTTACTGTAATAGCATTAAATGATCTCTCAAGATATAATCTATTAATCCAGTTCGAAAATTAGTTAAGAAATATTAATTATTTAAGGTATGAATGACATATGGTATCAATCGGTTTGCAGTAATTGAGATAATATGAGAATGAAATATGAGGAGAAGAAAAAGTAGAGCACATCTTAATCGATAGAAAAGTGCATGATGATGACATGAGTTAATCGATCAATATCCGATAAATCTAGTTTCCTGATTTTCATCGACTGCATAATTCTGTGCAATTCGATCTTTGAGCCTGAATATAAGAATGTCAGCTTTAAACAACGTTAGTCGTGTAGAATAAAATCGAACTGGACTGACCCAGTTCACCTGTACGAAAACAACTGTTACTACCTTTGTATCGATCGAAAATCTCATAAGAATGATCAGTTATTCTTACTCAGAATTATTTCCAGCTATATATAACACCTACTTAGTGGCATAGAACAATTTTACTCGAATTATAGTGAGAAGTCCGCATATATCCATATGCATAATTTATGATATTTGTTTCGTGGTTTGAATCGAAGGATTGATGTGATCATTGATCAAACAGTATTATATATGTAAATTTTTATCAAAAAGAAACTGATGTTTTTTTTATGAAATATATTTTGCCATCCATCAACGTGGCTAACGTTTAATCATTAGTTTTAATCGAAAGAAATGAAATACGATTTTTTTCTCTCTCAAGTAATATTTTGTGCTGTGATAGAGAGATTTACGCTCTTTTAGTCTGTTGTCATAGAGTTGAAGCAATCTCATCTGTGCGATGTCTTTTTTTCTGTTGACCGAAGTGAGATCCATGAAACTTTGCTGTTTGTTGACCTTTCTATTGAATATTTTTTCTATTATTTTATTTGAACATACATTCACACAACCGATTATTTTTCTTTCTTAAAAAAGCCACGACAATGGAAAATATTTCGTTGAAGTTCTAGCTCGCCAGCATTGATTAATTCGTATATTGTTATTTGTCAACGAATGTCTCGATTTACTCAAAATTAAACGACGCCAATAAGCATTTCGTAACTTTTCAAATCGATACACTTGATTCATTTGATGATATTTTTTCATTGATATTTCATGTAGTTTCTCACGTAAAAATGTTTCAGTGATTTCTGTATCATTTTGAATAATTATAACAGGTAAATCTTCATAGAGAATATTTAATGATGAATTCCAAACGATTGGTATAGCATCAAGATACAATGCTTCCCATGTACGATGACAATCGATTCCATTTCCGCGTGGTGATAACCAGAACGCATATTCACGATTTCGTGAATAGATATACGAAAGATGTGACATATCAACACCGGACGTTTTTTTCAGGCATGTTGCAAATGGAACTCGATTCTTTTTTGGACACATCTTTGTCCAAATACGTCGACGAAGCCCTGTTCCATCAGTTGCTAAATGAAAATTAATTAATAAAAGATTTTTCCCATGAAGATTGTGCTTCTGATTCAATGCTCGATGAGTCATATCAATTGGTTGAATATAATGTGATGGTTCATCGATATCACCATAGATTGGAGGCAATTTATGATGGTTTTGTTGCTTATAAATATCTCTAATTGCTTCGCTCATCTCGTAACATTGAATCCCTAATATTAAAATTTCAAAAAATAAGACTTATAATGCACATTGACTAAGCAATACTAGGAAGAGATAAAATTGAAGCGTATCTATGGACGCAGTGTGAAGACTCTCATCCTTATTCATACCAAAAAAAACTTGTTTTAAATGAATATTTCTCAAAAATGTATTTTTTTTATCAAATAGTGTTTCTTTTATACATTCGAAGAAAGTCTCTATCTAGGCAAAAACTTGATTTTAAAAATATTCCGAGTTTAAGAGTGTTACCAGTGAATTTTTTAGTGATTTGTGTTTCGCATATCACAAATAAAGCAAAGAATGCAAAAACAAAAAACTATCATCACCTACTTATCTAAATCTTACCAATTGGGATATGTGTGAATTTTTTGCTTCTTGAAGCATCAATATTTCCATTTTGACCAAACCAATGAATAATTTTAGAATCAGCTCGTTCTAAATAAGCTATATCTGGTGAGACTACATCACCTTCACCCGTAATCAAAACAAAATTATTGATTAAATGTGGATAAACTTGACTAAAAAAAGTTCCGATCGACCAAATACTAACATAGATTATACTACCATGCGGTAAACAAGGAGCAATATGTTGTCCATTTGTAGTTGTCACATCAACATATTCTTGGAATTGACTGGGCCAACCATAGACCCAATCGGCTAGATTACGAAAATTTCGTTGACAAACAAACTCAGAATCATGTCGAATGAAGTGTTTCGAATCAAATTCGAGATGAGTACGTGTTAGATTGCTTCTATAAGGACATATTTGTGTACAGTCTAACGATTGATAATTGTTCGATGATGTCCGTCGACTTATTTGAAGATAAGTGATGAAGGAGGATGAAAAAAGCAAGATAAAAATAGTGTAAGGTCGCATAAAAATACACTCCACGTTGACTATTCGCAAACTGATTGTGTCATTCTTTTATCGTAATGTATATATTTAAACGATATGAATCTTCTATCCCACACTTCACCGAGCATGTTCTTCGTACATGTATTGTACGCGTATAGTTATAAATCGCACGACTCATTTATTTTTCGGTTCTTTCGTAATTTATCTTCACTAATATCGATTTAAGAAGATGAAATGACTTTCCTTTTAATCGAAAGAATATGGTGTAGAAATCTAAATCCACTTGCTTTTATATAAAACGTGTGCTAAAATTTCTTCATTATTTCGTGTCACGTTATAATTATTATTGTTTTTCTTTCACTGAAACAGTAAATCGTTCAATTTCTTTATTTGTCAACAAGGAGAGACAATGATTTCAGTCGATAGATCAATGCGAACGTTGATTTTGATGATTCTAAAAGGACATCCAAAGCAATAGTTCAAATAGTGATAATGGTATTCAGTATTGTAAGGACTCACAAAACAATGATCGATGGAAGCCAGATAAAGAAGATATGGATTGAGTTATTAATTCCGCAAGCGAATCAATATAATGACGGGTGCATGCGAACAATAGTATCATTAGGAAGTCTAAATGTTCAAATGGAGAAACGACTGACATTGGACTTAAGAGAAGGCATCGTTCGGCGACTGACAATTGCCATGTTTACAACTTCGAACATATTGAATTCGAGAGACATCTTCGTGTTAAAATTTCATGAAACATCGATGAGATGACCTTCTGTTTTGGTTTTTTTCTTGATGAAAAATCAATAATTAGAGGCTAATTACGCCAATAAAATTTGCCTGATATAGACAAAATCTTTGTAAGTTCGAAGATACTTTTCCAAGGGTGTAGATGAAGATGTAAAGCTAGTTGTGAAGAGAAAACCGATATTTTTATGCACATTCCATATGAACACTCACACCAACATTAACAAACTTGTGTCAAATCGTTTCTAGATTGTGAGAAAAAGAAAACTTTGATGTTCTTAGAAACTTGTTCAGTGAAGGTCAATTTAATCAAATAAGTTGATTATCGATCAATCGAGCATCTAGTAGATCGTGTCAAGATGGTACCCAGCTCCATTATCCAACATTCAATTCATATTCGATCCATCATCACTCAATGATTGAATTAAGCTTTTGTGATTGATCCTATTGCTGATACTTGTCACTGACTCTTAACTTACAATTCTTTACCATCCATTGGATTCGTGCTTCGAACATATCTTTTGTTTTGATTTCGGGGACGAAATTGAAATTTGTGTTTCTGATGTATCTTGACTCAACTCTTTTCATCTTCTTTCATGTGATCAGTCATCATTATTAGAAACAGCGATCATGAATTCGGCTAAGTCTCCGTTCGTGCATTTGTAAATCTCGCCGAAATCTACGTTTTCATCGAAAATTGTTTTTGCATATAAAACAAGAAATCCAACGTAAAATCCCTCAATTTGATTCAAATCATGAGCGACCTTTCGCGCCACTCTAGTGTGTCTAACTCATCTGAACTTGAAAAAAAAACACAATTTTCCAAAAGAACTGCTGAAATTCATAGTGACATTGTGATCAGGTGCTTGAAACTGACCATAGGAAACAATAGAAATGATTCTTACGATTTCTGAATGAGACTCTTGTCGGGAGAGATTCATGCTGATACCTATTGCTAGACGCTTCTCAAGACCCATTTTGATTGAATTTTTCTATGCTTTTTAAATCAAGCGAACCATAATGGATCGATTTTCCATCCAATAATAGTGGTACTCATGTATTCATCGCTGATTATCAGTGACGATAGTTTTTTGTCGCAACATCTCTCATCATCAATATCTGGCAATGGACGTAAAGTCATTCGTATGCTGTTTATGCAAATGGAAATGTGCTATACATTGAGATTATATTTGAAAAGAGGCGGAACGTGATTGATCGAGGAGTTTCATATGAATGAAAAAATGAGCAATGTTATTTAAATGCCAAACTGAAATGCCGCTTGTAGTTTAGTTACGCTTGGGTTACATATCTGACCTCGATCTGCACCGGCCGCACCGACAATAACGTGAAGTGGAATTAAGTGTTCTTCGTGAGGATGATTAACACGAGCATGTGGCAACATTTGTTCCCAATTGAGAAGTATATGTTCGCGTTCGTGTTCGTCGCACTCTGTCATAGCTCGAATAAGAGCATCCCCAAATTGACTTGACTGTCCCTCATCTTCCTTAAATCCATGGATCGTTGAACCAGAACCAATAATGAGGACATTTTCGTTTCGAAGTGGAGCCAATGCCTTTCCAATTAACAAATGTTCGGCCGGTGATAGCGAACTGAGAATCGACATGGATACAACGGGAATGTCTGCGTTCGGAAAGATCAATTTCAGCGGAACGAACACACCATGATCAAGATTTCGTTCGGCGTCCAATTTACAAGGTATAGACGATTTCTCAAGTAACAATTTAACTCGTTCAGCCACTCTCGAATGTCCAGCTGGCTTGAATTCGATTTGATATGCGTCAGGTGGAAAGCCGTAGTAATCATAGAAAAGTTTAGTATGTTGTGTTTGAGCTGAAATGTGAACTGCATGTGTTGTTTCCTAGTGAGCACTGATAATAAGAACAGCTTTAGGTGACCGTTGTAATGACAGTTGACTGTACAATTGACGAAACCATTTTGCAGCAGGACTGTGCTTATCGAAATTGTTTGGAACTTGTTTCCTTGATGATTCCAGAAACATCATAGGACCACTTAAAAAGATATCATGATTTTAACATCAGTAGTCCGTCTATGCTACAGTTCTCTTCAGCCATCTATCTTGAACTCTATATCGATCAATAGAAGTCACTTATTCTTCATACTTCTCCCTAAAACCTTTCACACTATAAATTCTAAATCAAGAAAGATTCAAATATTCGATAACTCTCTACTGATCAGTGTATTCCAAATCCTTTTCTCCCTATCATAAAACCAAGGAAAAGGAATTAATTAGATTCTTACATTCGGATTGAAGACAGTGCATAGTTTTGCGTCTACCTGTTTCTAATCGGAAATGAGCGTGCAAGAAAGAGATTAGATTTGTTTACTTTAGAACCCTCAAGTTTTATTACAATACATGACACTTTGATTTTGATCATTATAAATAAAATTTCAAAACATTGACGAGTTGTTGAATAACTGAAGCTTTCTTCTCAATACACTCAATATGAATATATCAGATTAAGAGTGAGACTTACGCTCCATGAGTGATAAATAAGACGGATGGACGAGTCATTTTCAAATTCTAGTCACTAATTTGTACCGTGTTCTTCAACTGATCAAGAAGAATGAGAATAATCGTTTCATCTGGGAACAACTATTTATATGGACTCTTGAATTGCTGATGATGACAAGGCAAAAAAAGCAAAGCTATACAACATTGAAGCAAATTCATTTAATGGTGACGAAGCAAAGTAATGCGACAGAATGAAGTATTGTGTTTTTTTCTTCTTTCTTTCTTTGTTCTTTTCTTCACAACTGATATGATAAGGTATGCAACAGCTTCCAGTTCATCATTCCTGCAAGCTGTGATCATAGTTTCAGTGCCTTTAACAATTATGTCGATGGCTATAGAATGTGTTCTGTTACTTAATGATTATAAATGTTGTTATTAACATTAAGATCTCGATTATGCTTGCCAAACACACTTGATACTAGTTATTTTGAGAATGATTAGAGTTCAGTGAAGATCAACACAGACATTAAGAGATAATAATAGGAAGATTTTCATTTTTTGTTTTTTCAAAAGAAATGGAAGAGCAGTGTACCAACTAAAGACTGGTTAATGTTTGAACGCGTATCTTGATATTAGAATATATGAACTATATAGTCCACACACCACAACCGACAAGTTTCAATCAAAATTTTAGGATTCGGCTCTTGAACTTGTTGAATGTGGATATAGGTTTGTGACTGAAGAGATAAAACTGTCACACGCACATACTTACTCACGAACTCACACCCTTCTGTCAAGAAAGAGAGGTCGGAACTCCGTGCTGACTTTTCTTTTGTTCACACCTACCAATCAAGGTCATCTCATATTTTATGAATTTCATTAGTATCTTAATTAGAAAAATTATATTGAAAAGGTTTCATAGAGTTTTGTCGCGCTATTGAGAAAGAAGTACGTAGAAAACACCTTTTGGTGACAAAAATTTGCTGCATTTTGCCTGACTATCAAAAAAATGGAGTATTTTTTTAGGAATGTCCAAGGTCAGGGACTGGTTTACTGACATCACGTTAAAAGGATTTTCCTTTTTATTGAAACCAAGTCGAGATACAAATGTTACAAAGGACAATAGAAACTATGAATTTTTCCAATAAGATTTAAACTGTTACTTTGTTATCCATTATTTACCCAAAAATTTCCATGGAATTATTATCAAGAAAAAAAGCTATTTACATAACTTATATTAAATTATCGAAAATTTAGATATTGTTAATGTTATTCTTCTTCTACAAAGTCTATTTAACTTGAAAATGCATAGAGACCAAAGTATAACCCTTATGGCTATGATCAGCTGTCAGATACAGAACGATACGTATACTTATGCGTTTTATTATTTGGTGCAAAAAAATTGACTAGCTGTAATATAAGTTCTTAAAATTCAAATATAAAGCAAAATTATTAACAATGAAGGCATCTTTAAAGTAATGGAAATCTCGTACAGAAAACTCGAAGGAATATAGCACAAAATATCATCGATATTTCTTTATTCTTCAATTAATATTACAATAATTAACGTTCAATAAAAGCTATTCATCATTATTTTAGATAGATGATAAGAATATTTGCTTCTACATGGAAGTTCATACGGTTTCGGCACTTAGAACGATTGAAAGATAGACTAAATGGTTTTACAAAAGTCAAGAAGATTTAGCATGGCTTTGTAGATCTTTAAAGGAAACAGAATCTGAAAATATCCAACAAGTTCATTGTATTATGATATCAATTGAAGAATAATCAAATACAACACATTGTTTGTTCTATCAATGCTTGAAGTTTTTCAACGGTATTTCAATGTTAGCACTAGTACTTTTGGCATTTTTCTCTAAATTGATATAAAAGATGATTGATAAGCATAAAATTTATCAGTGATTGAAAAATAGTTGTCGAAAAATTTATGAAATATTTCAAATGTTCAACATAGACGCTTCTTGTTTTTTTTTTTTTGTTTTTGTTTTTGCATTCTATATGTAATTTCTTCACGATGACTTCACCAATTGAAAGTCTTCCACCAGAATTATTTCGACCTATTCTTGCTTATCTTTCTCCAGAAGATACATCTGCTTTGGCACAGACATGCCATCGAATGAATATAATTACACGTGATGATAAAATATGGCAGCAATATTTCCGAAAAAGGTACTCAATTGTTATATTTCAAAGAAGAACAAAAAAAAAAGACTATTGATTAAATAAAGAATTGAAATTATAGATCTTTTTCATCATATAATAATAATTGATTATGTTGATCGATAGAAGCCTTACAATTATTACTTCAGTTTTTCATATCCAATTCTAAAAATACGAATAAAAGTGTAGTAAATAATTGTTGAAGAAAATTATTTCTCAAATTCAAACAATGATGTTATTCTAATTACATATTAAAACTTTCTCTTTCAGGTATAAATATTCAACTAATTCAATTCAGTATTCTGATGAAGAATATTTGCCCAGTTCTGCTCTCAAAGTTACTGAACCTCCTGATGATTGTACATGGCAAGAATATTTTATACAACGAGCACTTCAAGATAAACATATTCGATTTCTTCTCAATGAAATTATATCTACTCGAACAAAACGTAAGTAATTTATATACAGATGATATTTCTTTGAAATGTTATTCTAAAATGCATCGATTTGCTTGTTTTTTTTTTCTATATCTAATTGATATTTCAAATAATTTAGGAATTTATAATGCTGAACTTATTTTATCAACATATGGTCTTTTGGCTTTTGATGTTCTTAAACATTATTTTTCACCTTCTATTGACATATCTAAACAATTAGATACTTCGATAAATTTTACTTTACGTAATCTTACTCGTGAATATTATTCATTAGATATAGCTCGACTTATATCTCGAAATATTGGATTAACTCTATTAAATGATATGAAAAATCGAACAGAAATTCCTACAGAAGGAAAAGCTTTAATAAATGCTTTATTTATTATTCAATGTTTTCATCCATATGGTATTTTTCTTTCATTAAATCGTCTTCATTTAATTGGACAATATCTTATTAATGATCCTATATTTTCAACACTTACTATTAATGAAAAATGTGAATTAATTCTCACGACAATGAAAAAAGAAAAATTTCTTTCTGCAAATGGTGGTAGTGAATATTATGATTTAGAAAATTCATTTCTTTTTGCAACATTTCATGGTAAATCAACTATTCCATTAACACTTGTTGCAATATTTTGTGCATTAGCTGATGAATGTAATTTAATAGCTCGACCAATTGGTTTTCCTGGTGAAGTTATGGCACAAGTAGAACAACCATTAAATAATGCAACACCATTAATAATAAGTGTTTTTGATGGTAAAATTATAACTCTTAATGAAATAAATATACGTCTAGCTGATGTTCTTGATAGACCTTTAACATATCCATTATCTATAACACCAATTATTGAATTAATTATTCGATCAGCTCGAAATATAATAAATAGTATAAGTAGATATACAACATCATCACTTAATTCCTATGGTCTATATGCTGCTGTATCAATTCTTAAAATTTTAGGTGGTGGTGCATTACCATTTGCTTTTAATTCAGTAATGAATATTATAAAAGAACATTTTCCTATGGATATACATTTTTTTGAAATTCTATCATCTTCAATGACAACAATGAATGATGATCTTCTTGAAATACGAAATCAAGATTTAAATCCTTTACCAATTGAAGAAAAACGACGAATAAATTCTCTTCCGAAATATTATGCTGGACAAATATTTCAACATAAACAATATAATTATTGGGGTGTAATATGTGGATGGGATTTAACTTGTATGGCTTCAAAATTATGGCAAGTTCGTATGGGAATTTCAAATTTATTACGAGGTGCATCACAACCATTTTATCATATATTAGCAAATGATTCTTCAAGAAGATATGTAGCGGAAGATAATATAAGTACAGAAATATTTAATTTGATTGAAAATCACGAAGAAAAATATTCTATTGTACAAAATTTATGTTCAATAGATGATATTGGAAAATATTTTGAAAGTGTAGATATTATAAATTCAAGATTTATTCCAAATAGTGAACTACGTAATGAATATCCA